CTATTTAGGTAAGCTGCAGTCGCGAAAGGAGACTGACTATATTATCGGATATTGAATGGATCGTAATGCAAATTGTACGGAAAATTTTATGATCCAGACGCGGAGTGCCGCGGCAGTTATGACTTCTCGCCGAACAGAATTAGTTTCCCCATCGGCTGACGTCTTTGTATTCGCGCAATCAAGATTTCCATAATACAGGCTGAAAAGTGAAGAAACTATTACAAGCTGTTCTCTTGCATCAACTGATGCAAATTTCGGATAACCGGATAATTTAACCAGACGAATTGTAATATAAATTGTACTCGAACATGACAGGACGAAAGGATATGCTTCTTTATTTAACCCTTTCAAAAATATTGTCTAAATCTTGAATTCCTGGCAAATAATTTGAATAATTATATATAATCATAATAATATATAATCATAATCATAATAATTTGAATCGTTCGATGCTCCATTAATTGTAACATGATCGATCATTTTAGTTGGGATTACCAAACACCTTAACATGTAATTGTTTATTCCGTGGATTTTTATCACTGGATTCTGGATCTTTGCGTGAAAGAAATATTTGCTTTATTAATCGGAATAAACAGAAGACAAATAGAAGTGTCTTTCTTCCTTTAATAATGTTAGCGAGTTAAATGTATATTATATTAATGATCTCAAATTTTTTTAATCTTTCCATTATTCTGTGATTTATCTACTCGTTTTTAGAATACATTTTTTATTTTTATAATAAATGAGGACAGAACAGAACAGAAAAATCTTGTTAAAATTTTCTGAAACATATGATAAGCTCAGAATAACGAAGATTAGCAATTTAACAAGTTCCAATCGCTACTATGTTTTTAAACATTAAGTATTCCGAATATAATGTGTAATGCGCTATCAAAATACCGTCGTATAAGGGAGATACGAAGCTTCATTTTCCCAGGGACCATCCTCTTTGTTCTCACCAACAAAAAACCGCTTTGCGTATTGATCAAACTGCTTTATAATTGGACTACGTTGCACGTGTTTTTTTTAAATCTTTCGCTTTCGCGATGTCCCTTGTTAATGAAAGTGTCCGTTGTACCACCAACGAAACGGAACAGTCTTTCGAACTTAATTAATCTTACCAATTTTTCATGGGACTTCAAGGTTATCGGGGTATTTCTTAACTAACGTGTCGCATTTCCTTTCCGCATAGTAATTAAGATCTTGTTATCGAAAAGCGATCGTCCGAAAGAAAATCTGTTAAAACTGTTAAAAAGCAATCTTGAGTGGCATGAATTTCCCATAATTTGATTGACTTCTTTTAACAGTACATTTTGCACGCTAACGAGTGCTTTTATAACAGCCATAACAGAGATATTTACGTCTTCCGATTTATTTGTTCCACCGTGTACACACGCTCGTACCGTGCTAGCCCGTGCTCCGATTCGCAAACGCTTTCGCAATTAAATGTTTACGTGCCTGTAAATCCGCTGACAAAACCGGATTACACGAATATATATTTTTTCCGTTTACAAACGATTGACAACGTTTATTCGCGCGCGCACCTTCAGCTTTCAATATCGTTTAATCATTCGCCTGCGCACCATTTATCGCGATCGCATGCGGCAATTGTTCGTTTTTTAATCGCGACGAACATTGCTTTCACGCAGTCGTTGGTTAACTTTTGAGTTATGAAACAATAAAACATTCTGGTTTTACGTACGTATATGTAAAGAATGATATCTCAAGTGGTTTTAGAAATACTATCCGTAATTTTTTAAAATAATCGAAAGATTTTTAATAATGAACCGTTCACTTAATATTCAAAATTAATAACTTAATTAATCACTTAATGTTCAAAAGAGTTTGGATGATGATGGTGTTCACTCATTGTGCCCAAAAGATTTTTTGTAACGATAGCGTTGATTCAAAATATGCTTGAAAGATTTTTTTATAAAAGTAGTGTTCACTTATGTTCGCTGAAAAAATTATTGATACAGACAGTGTTTACTCGACATGCTAAAAAGATTGTTCATAAAAGTAATGTTCACTGAATTACAACTACAGAGAATATTTTAGGAATTCCGGATTATTATTGCTATTTTAGTTTCAACGTTTATTGCTATCTTTACAGAATTCCATTGTACTCTAAACAATTAAATGAAACAGTTAGAAATATTTATCAAATCTCTAAAGTTTACACGCACTTTTCTAGATATCCAGGCGTCCCTTGGACTCGATTAAGCGCACTGAACGTTGTCCAGGAACAGTTTAACGCGCGTTAAATGGGAAAATGAGGTTCTCGGGTCTTTTAACGAGCATTCCCGCGAAAGGAGCGAATGAAAATCCGAAGCCGCGATAGTCATCGAAACAGAAATCGGGTCATAAAACTGTCCCCGTGCAAATGGAACCGTTCAACATTACGCGTTCGCGACGCGAAGATCGTGCAACAATAATCCGTGTGAGCGCCGCCGCAGTTCCGCTTCGCCAAGTTCATTTGCAAGTGCGAGCGAAATTTTAATTAAATAAAACCGGCCTCTCGATTTCGTCGCGCGCGAAAAGAACGGCGGGCGCATTCCTCGCGTACGATTTGACTTTCAAATTCTGATTAAAGGACGGTTTATGCATTCATGGCCGCCGGTAAATATATTCCCGCGAAATTCGCTAAATTCTGAAGGTTAAAATAATATACATGGCCCGCGTTTTGAATACCCCGGTTTATGCCGTCGCGATACAGCCAGCCGCGAGATAACCGGGGAACAGGCTTATGCATTTAAACACCACTATGCATTCAATGCATTCCCGCCATTACACAAACATCCCTCGAATTCTCTCGGAGCCGCGACTTTTATGATACGCGACCGTTTCGCGGTTCTACCTCCCGGCCGGTTTGGAACAGTTGCGAAAGCGAGTGGATGTGGATTACTGTCGGAGGCTCTAACTTCTGGAACAGGCATATCATCAAAACTCGGTTGAGTGTTCGCTGCATTTAAAATTGGGCAGCCCCTTTTTAGAACATGTTACTTTAAGCTGCAGACGAGAAAAGTTTCGGCACAACGAAAGTGCGCGCTTCGAACATATTTTAAAAGCGTGTTTTCCTTTCGAGTGCTAAAAAACGAGTTCTTTTCTTTTTTCTTTTTTAAGCTTTCGTGAATCGTAATGTTTCAGGAAAACGAGTTCACAGTGTTTTGTACTTTGTTTCATAAGAATGACTGGGTTACAGTGATTTCTCTAATGTAATGCATCACTGGAAAGATCGTTCGTTATAACACTTTGTGCGTTTTTTATGAAAATGGTATTTTGAAGATTGGCTTTCGCGATCTTTTCCAATGCTACAACTAACTTTTTACAAATTTTATTAACATAGGAAGACTTTTTTATGTACTTTTATATTCTCTACTAGCATTGTGCAAATGCTTGCAATAATTTATTCTTAACACGTTTCGAAACACATTTTCTGTTGCTTCATTTTAGTAGAAAACTCCTGCAGATTAAGATTGTCTTAAATTTTCCTATTTAACGCGTGCACAACGTTACAAATCGTATGATACGAGTAACATAATTACAAGATAATTACAAAAAGGTTACCGAGATATTTATTATTAATTAAAAATACATGCAGAATGCTTGGATCCATAGTGATCGTATATCCAAAACGTCAATAGGAGCCATTTTAAATCTATTATAGTTTCTCTGACCCATAGTATTTCCATTTCATATAGCCTAGCGCATTTTATGTGTTCGAAATTGAATTTTGTGACTCGTGCAACGGTTACACTTTTAACAGTTTTTGAAACGGAATATCACGACTTTTAGTGGCGAGTTAAAGTCACCGCTCGAGACGGGAAGGTTCAATAAAACGGAGAGTGCGGATCGCAGAAATAGAAATGTTTAAGATGTGCTTAGAGAAGAGCAGTACAATAATTTCGCCCAGAAATGTTCGGAGATTGGAATTGAAACCGGCAGATCCGAGAATACTAAGTCACGATTCCTCGAGCTTCGCGGCTTGATTTTATAGAAACTCGGAGCAGTCGGCAAAAAAAGGCAGCGATCAGTATGCCGGTACATTAATATTGGTATACAGAGTGTCCCAAAATTATGGTATTTCCGAGAAATGAGGGATTTCTCAGGTGATTTGAAGCAACTTTTTCCTTTACAAAAATTTTCTCCGAGGCATCGTTCATGAATTATTCAGAAAAAACACTGACCAATGAGGGGCGAGTTCGCTTGACGCTAGGCGACCGGGCCGAGCTCCGTGCGCTCGTTGGCTCGGCCGCCGCACGCCAGCTGAGCTCGCCTCTCATTGGTCACTGTTTTTCGTTAATAACTCGTAAACGAAGCCGCGGATTGCAATTTCGCTAAGGAAAAAATTACTTCAAATGATCTCAGGAACCCTTTATTTCCCGGAAGTACCATAATTTTGGAATACCCTGTATAGTAATGCTAGAATAAAAACGATGACTTAACATATTTATTTCTCATATTTTGCCACGATTCGAAGGCAATTCGGAGACCACATGTCACGATTCGACGGTCACGTACGTAATTTCTCCCTAATTCGCGCTGAGATTGCTCACAAAAATGAACACTGTGGACAGAGGAGATACGATTATTCGAGCCTCGCGGCTGATTTCATAGTCATCGATTGTCAACAACTATAAAAACGAGACGCAAGGCTCGAATAATCGTATCTCCTTATCCCGAATTGTCCATTTTTGTGCGCAATCTGAACGCGAATAAAGAAGAAATTCTTGCACCTTGTAGCTCCGCGGTTTTTCTTACCTGTCTCACACCCAAACAGACCATTTTGTGTCGTCTTCCGGGAATTCGCGTCGCGTGCCGCATCACGCGCTTGATCGACTCCGTCGATCCTTGGTATCGACGTAGCAATAAATTACGTAGGCGTAGTGCTAGCACAGGGAAATTCACGGCAACCCGAAATTTGGCACTTCCGGGAGAAATTACTGTATTTCGCTAAACACCGACGACGTAGTAACGATCGTTTCTATCTTATTTAACAGGACGAAGGATGGAAACTAGATCGTAGAAATTACTATCAGGAGGGATGGCTGGCCACTGGTAACGCTCGTGGCCTCGTGGGGGTGACTTTCACTGTGTCCCACTTACGTCGAACAAGGACCACGGAACTTCCTCTGAGGGCAAATTACAACCTACGGGGACATCGCAGCGAAGTAAGTTCTGTTTTTCTTGGTTCGTTTTTTCCGTGTCTCTCTTTCGCGTTGCCTCGGCAAACGAGACTCGCCGGGGAACGCCGTTTAATTTCCTTCTTTTCCCCTCTTTCGGAGTCGGCGTAGCGATTAATAGCGTTTGATCGCCTCAATTCCCGGCATTCCTGCGATCTACGAGTGCCAGGTCCTGAATGTTGACTAGAAAATCAAGTTTACTCGGACGGGAACGCGGGAGAGCCTCCGGATAATTATTTCATACGGCGACAGCTTCCCCGGGACTCTTTTCGTAATGGCTTTCTTTCCGCGTATATAAACGGATTATCTTCACTTATTCATTAAGAAGCTAATAACGGGGGCGTTAATCCTCGCGCGTCCATCATCTTTCGAACCTTTGTCAGTTGCCGTCAGATTCGTACGATGAAAAGGAACGAATAGGATGAGAAGGTAAATAATGAAGTTTCGAAAGTCTTTCATTGAGAATGAACAACTGCGAGATAATGAGACAGGATTAAAATTTGTACAATTGTAATTAATTCAATTTAGAGAATCTAGAAATTGTTCAAAATCAGTGGGAGGTGGCGAATAATTAAATTCTCTTATAATTCTTAATAAAATATTGGTTTTCCTTCACTATTTCCTGAAGAAAAAGATTACATACATAACGATACGTATACCTTATATTTTGTACATATTTCAGTCATTTTATTTTTTTTTTTATAGTACATACATTATTTTGCGTTTCTTTTTTGGTTTCATAAATATTAGATAAACTGAAAAATTGTCGATGTACGTTTTATTCGTCACTCGATATTTACTACGCGAAAAAGTTTCAAAATTTAATGGAAATCGAATCGGTCGAATTTTTTTTATAGCAAAGCGGTTTTTATACGCACTTCGCCAAAAAATTGTTTTATTTAAACACCGTAGAATATATATCTATTTACAGTTTCGTTAAAAATTAAATTAATCGACACAGTCGCGAGGAACAGAATTTCAGAGAGTTCTGTATCGGCCAAATAATTGAAACTTTTAACGCTATGGATTTAATTATCACACTACAGAGAGCCTTCTCGAGCACGTTATCTGAAGACCTTTGCAAACGTATAATGACGTGTATTAAAGCGAGGGAAACTTCATCGACCACGAGTTGGAAATAACGAAAGCGGAATAATCTTGAAACAATGTTCGAACCGTGTAAAGGTAGATAAGCGAGGCTCCTATTATGCTGTCCGGCGAGGGTATATATATTTCGCTCTTAATTGTGTCGTATACCTCTCTGATTCACTAAGACAGGATTCGAGTGTGTGTACACGAGCTGTGTGAATTAAACTGGTTCGATCCATCTATTTTCTACGCAATATCCACCATTGCCAGTCTAAAACTTACATTGAAAGTTGAATTCAATTGTTTCTAAGTTCATTTTAAAGATTGTCGTTAAATTAAGGATTCTTATGAAAAATCAAAATTCTTAGACGACGGAATTTCAATGAAACGTTATTTCGTTTTTATTTATTGTATATATATATATACAATAATAATATAATAATATAATAATAATAATAATAATAATAATGATGATGATGATGATGATGATATAATAATAATAATATAATATTATAATAATAATAAAAATGAAAGAACGTTTCATTGAAATCCTGTCGTCTAAAAATCTTGATTTTTCATATGAATCCTTAATCTAATGACACTTGTAAAAATGTAAGAATTCTAATTTTGAAAATCACGACATTTTTGTCATTTTAAACACGCGATCGATATAGTATCAATATAGTATCAAAAACAACTAAAATATTTCAAGTCTTACAATTACAAATTATAAGCAAATCACGATTTAACGAAATTATCTTCGACTCTCAAGATGTTCACATTTCGCCCAAAGTTATTCAACAGTCATCAACATTGACGATTATCCAAGGGACTCAGTAAATTGTCTAATAGCAACAGCAAGTTTAATCGCGGACAATTTAATCCTGCATCCGCCCCTAAGTAATTAATCTTTTGCCTCGCGATCTTTTCAACAGTAATCATGGTTGTTTCGCATAATCTCGTCGAAATGGAATTCATTAATGCAATTAGGAAAGCTGCTTGCGAAATAGAAGTTAAAGCAAAGCTCCCTTAAAAGTCAAATGAAAATTGTTCTCTTGAAGCTCATCCGAGCGAGACTCGTCATTTCCATTTAAGAGGTCGGAAGAAAATAATGGCGTTTCTTTTCGACGCAGCGCTGGCATTAAGAATGCCATTAACAGGCATCCGGCGGGCAAAGCATTAAATCACTGCTCGCTTTTGACGAAGTAACCACCCACGATCGGTCGCGATAAGAAGTTGGCTCTCCGCTCCTAATCGCATAGGTGCATCTCGCGAAGACGTTCTACAATAGCGCGCGGTTAAGCTTACTACGATTCGGGAGCAAACAATTTACTACGTTTGAAAATTAATTTTTACGCCAATTTAATAATCTCCTTAATTTTATTCACATAAATAAATAATTTATGCAATTTCTTATATGGTTTTGTGCCGAAATATTAAATATTTCAACCACCTCGACCAGCAAAAAATAAACGCGGAATGAAGAAAATTTCGTTTTCAATAACGATCGCCCTACTCTTTATAATTATAGCGTCAATGGATAGCNATAATAATAATAATATAATATTATAATAATAATAAAAATGAAAGAACGTTTCATTGAAATCCTGTCGTCTAAAAATCTTGATTTTTCATATGAATCCTTAATCTAATGACACTTGTAAAAATGTAAGAATTCTAATTTTGAAAATCACGACATTTTTGTCATTTTAAACACGCGATCGATATAGTATCAATATAGTATCAAAAACAACTAAAATATTTCAAGTCTTACAATTACAAATTATAAGCAAATCACGATTTAACGAAATTATCTTCGACTCTCAAGATGTTCACATTTCGCCCAAAGTTATTCAACAGTCATCAACATTGACGATTATCCAAGGGACTCAGTAAATTGTCTAATAGCAACAGCAAGTTTAATCGCGGACAATTTAATCCTGCATCCGCCCCTAAGTAATTAATCTTTTGCCTCGCGATCTTTTCAACAGTAATCATGGTTGTTTCGCATAATCTCGTCGAAATGGAATTCATTAATGCAATTAGGAAAGCTGCTTGCGAAATAGAAGTTAAAGCAAAGCTCCCTTAAAAGTCAAATGAAAATTGTTCTCTTGAAGCTCATCCGAGCGAGACTCGTCATTTCCATTTAAGAGGTCGGAAGAAAATAATGGCGTTTCTTTTCGACGCAGCGCTGGCATTAAGAATGCCATTAACAGGCATCCGGCGGGCAAAGCATTAAATCACTGCTCGCTTTTGACGAAGTAACCACCCACGATCGGTCGCGATAAGAAGTTGGCTCTCCGCTCCTAATCGCATAGGTGCATCTCGCGAAGACGTTCTACAATAGCGCGCGGTTAAGCTTACTACGATTCGGGAGCAAACAATTTACTACGTTTGAAAATTAATTTTTACGCCAATTTAATAATCTCCTTAATTTTATTCACATAAATAAATAATTTATGCAATTTCTTATATGGTTTTGTGCCGAAATATTAAATATTTCAACCACCTCGACCAGCAAAAAATAAACGCGGAATGAAGAAAATTTCGTTTTCAATAACGATCGCCCTACTCTTTATAATTATAGCGTCAATGGATAGCTGAGATTCTTTTGATTGAAACGATTCCAAACACGATATAACTCTGATTAATTTAGGCTGTCCTCGGATTAATTAATAAGCAATCTACAATGATAAATGTTCCGATAAATGTAGTCCGATTTCCATCGCGTATGGATTCATTTGAACGTTTTATAACGTTTTTTTCGAATACAAAAGAGTCAGGCGAATATTTGGTAAATTTAAGCTTCCTTAGCTTCGATTTCGTTGATTAATCGACTTCGATATTCTGGGAATTCTTGGGGTTGATTTTCGCCACTGAACGTGTTAATCGTGCACCACTGTACTCCGATTCGTCACGACTCGGAGGAATCGGTGGCTCCATATTATTCGAAAATTCTCCGACCTCGTCGACGGAAGAATCCCAATCAGCTTCGACCAACTTGGTAAGAAGCGAAAACTTTCTCGCCCTCCATCAAACTCTAGTGTGAAGGCCTCCGCGTAAAGTGCCCACCCCTCCCCCTCCTTCCCCCAGTCGCAACTGTCGCGTCTCTGTACTCCGGCGGTTACACATCACCGAACGTTTATTCGGCCTATAACTGAAAGTTTGCCAAGGAAAGAAGGTCGAAGTGATGTGTTACATTGCTAATTACAGGGCGCGGTACCCGAAACTGAAAAGCGGCGACTTTCCATACACAAACAGCTTAGATAACTTGATCGTCGTGTTACTCCATTGTTCTCATTTGCGAGTTCTTCAATAGCCATCCAGGGAGATGCTTCGCTTTTTAATTAGCGATTTCAATGGTTATTGCTGGTCTGTGTTTTAACTCTGCACTCGGAGGATTTCCTTAACCCGTTCGCGTGCTTCGATGAGTTTGACTCGTGGCGGAGATTCCATTCTTTCAAGCAGGAATGAAATTCTGTTCTCTTGGCATACTTATTTAACAGAATTGGGCATTATTCGAATTGTTTCGAATAAATATTTCTCTGAGATAATTAGCCGAATGAATACATTTTAGTCGAATATTTTACTCGAATAGCAATTACTCATTGGTGGTCATAAATAATTCTATCTATTTTATTATCTATCTATTTATTCGAATAATTCTTTATTCGATTACATATTTATTCCATAGCATCGAATAAAATGTTATTCGATTATAGTTTTTATCCGCTTTGCAATTAAATCTTGCCCAACTCTGATATTTAATTTGCACACAATGAATATAAATTTTCGTTTTCGTCAAAGAAATTAATACAATATTACATCACAATTATTAATATTTAAAAAAAGCATTGCTAATAATTGTAACAGCGAAGGAAATGATTCAGTGAAGAAAT